CTGGAGTGCAATGGCACAATGTAGCTCACTGCAACCTCCACCTCCTGGGTTCAAGCGATTCTCCTGCCTCAGCCTCCCAAGTAGCTGGAATTACAGGCCGGTACCACCATACCCAGCTAATTTTTTGTATTTTTAGTAGGGATGAAGTTTTCCCGTGTTGGTCATGCTGGTCTCAAACTCACGATCTCAGGTGATCCACCTGCCTTGGCCTCCCAAAGTGCTGCAATTATAGGTGTGAGCCACTGCGCTCAGCCTCAAATGCTTTTTAAAGTTCACATCACTTAAGTAAAATCTTTAATAAATAAGCTGGCTTTAAAATTATTGGTAAAATAATATTAGAAATGTCTTAAGAATTATTAGCATTTTTGCTTATGTTTATTGATCAAGTTGTTTCATGCTTATTTCTGCAGTACTATAAGATTAGTCATAAGGGTTTCTAAACTGTAAAACCCAGCCCAAGACAGAATGATCTTTGCTGTATAATTTTTGACAAGATGGAATGTTGTTGGTTTAATGAAAACAGCTAAATCCTGAGTTATTGATAAAAAACACCCTTATATTTAACCTTAAGTAAGGTTCTTACTTAAGGAAACACCTGAAATTCACAGCTACCAAAATGGTTAACTGGAAAGTAACTTAAAGAATGACTGCCACAGTTTTTGTAAATAAACTAGGTAAACTATTAAATAAGTCAATCAGGTAAATATAATGGAATAAATGCTTGTAAACAAACTTGTCATAATTTAGGATCTAAGGTTATTAATAAATATTAAGTATCTGGGTAATTTCCAATTTAAAAACTATAGTAAAACTTTTTTTCCCCATTTATTTATTTTATTGCATTTTAGGTTTTGGGGTACATGTGAAGAACATGCAAGATTGTTGCATAGGTACACACATGGCAGTGTGATTTGCTGCCTTCCTCCCCATCACCTACATCTGGCATCTCTCCCCTTGCTATCTCTCCCCAACTCCCCATAGTAAAACTTTTAAAAGTATTCTTATTAAAAGGTAAATATCTTCATCTAATTCTAAGCTTATTTAAGGATTATGTATAAAACAAGGTAAAAGAAACCAGAAAATAAGAGATAGAAAGAAAGTTAAAGATACAAAGAGGTATTTTTGGTAAAGAAGGTAAAAATGAAAGTAATTTTATATAAGAAAGAATCTTTTGTGGTGAATTTTTGTCCTAAAATAAAATGACTGGGTTGTTCAGGAAAGAGAGATAGAGACATTCTTTGCTGAGAGTCGCCACAGTTTCCTGCTTCAACAGTGCTTGGATGGAAACTGGCGCTCATCCCCCACCCTGGCCAGCCATCCATAGCCAGCCCTCTGTCACCTCCACACTGTGCCCTTGGACCGCCTCAAGTCCTCTGCCACTACTCCAGTGCCATGTAGTCACTGCTGCTGCTGCCTCTCCTTAGCCACCACCATGATGACACTGTCCCCCTTGCAGGGGTGCCAGAACTACCACCAGGACTCAGAGGCTGCCATCAACTGCCAGATTAACCTGGAGCTCTACACCTCCTACATCTACCTGTCCATGTCTTACTACTTTGACTGCGATGACGTGGCTTTGAAGAACTTTGCCAAATACTTTCTTCACCAATCTCATGAGGAGCGTGAACAAGCTGAGAAACTGATGAAGGTGCAGAACCACCGAGGTGGCCAAATCTTCCTTCAGGATATCAAGAAACCAGATCATGATGGAGTGTGCATTACATTTGGAAAAGAATGTGAATCAATCACTACTGGAACTGCACAAACTGGCCACTGACAAAAATGACCCCCATTTATGTGACTTCATTGAGACACATTACCTGAATGAGCAGGTGAAATCCATCAAAGAATTGGGTGACCACATGACCAACCTGTGCAAGATGGGAGCACCCTGATCGGGCTTAGCAGGATATCTCTTTGGCAAGCACACCCTGGGAGACAGCGATAATGAAAGCTAAGCCTTAGGCTAATTTCCCCATAGCCCTGGGGTGACTTCTCTGGTCACCAAGGCAATACATGCATGTTGGGGTTTCCTTTACCTTTTCTATAAGTTATACCAAAACATCCACTTAAGTTCTTTGTACCATTCCTTCAAGTAAAGAAATTTGGTTAAAAAAATTAAAAAAAGGAAAGAGAGATATTTAGGACAAAACAAAAAGTCCAAACATGTTGTGAATGGTCTGTGTAAGTCATAATAATGTTAGTAAAAAGGATTTTCTTTTTGAAAAAGGGTTGTATAATTTAGTTGGCTATGATTAAGAAGAAATTATAATAGTCTTTCTAGAGATGAGTTTTTGCTATTAAAAATATATACAGTAATACAAAACTAAATAATTGGTTAAAACAAGATTTTAATTATTGACTTATTCTTAATGCAAGAAGATTTTAGTTTTTAAGTTCTATAATCTATCTATTTAAAATTCTTCAGCTAAACATCTCAAAGGTTCAACTCTTTCTCTTTAAAAAGGCCTTGGATAATAGCTCTCTCCTTTACCGTTTGTTGGCTCCTGTAACTTTTATTAAGTACCTAAAGTAAGAGAATATATTTTGGACCTACCTTTTTATTCTGCATGCCTGTTATATCTCCATCTTTATATTTGTCATATGGAAGTGAGATTTCACTACCAAACTACATGGAAGAGCTCTAATCAAGTAATTCTTTGAAAGTAAGTGCTTATTAGACTAGTAGAAGCTAGTTCCAATACCTTTTAATTCACATGACTTTGGTAATCTTTGGTAAAATTAATTTGATAAATTTAATCTCCACTCTCTCCAGTAATTTAAAATCTTAAAGTCATGTTATGTTCAAAGACAACTGAGAATTTTCAATGGGAATTTGGGTTACAAAGGGTTAAAATAGTAAAAGCATAAAAGATGTTGATTTTTCTTAAAAAATTGTGTTTTTCTCCAGTTAAACTATTTAAGAATTGCTTTAAAAATAAGGGAAAATTATATAGATAAAACTACATGGAAAAAAAAACCCAACAATTATGCCAGGGCTACAAAAGTTAACTCTGAGACCTGTGGCTACCAAAAAGTCAATGCAGAGGAAGGGCAAAACCAAGTAACTGTTAAAACCAGAGGGTATAATGTAAAGGGATTATTCTACTTTGTAAATTGGTATCATCTACTTCTTTAAAAAAATCTTTACTGCAGTGGATTGTAAAAATAATTTAAGAACAAAATCCTTAATTTTAAATTCTGTAGAAATTAAGGGCTTGTTTGGGTTAATGCAGGACCCACATCTCATGATTGAGCAATCACTGATAAGTATATGTGATCCAAATGCACAAGGGGTTATTTCTGAGAGAATAAGCAGCCTAGTCAGCCAGAAAAATGCCACTGTAAGATCTGTTTGCCCTGTAAAGGGGACTACCCAGCTCTCCCTATTAAACACCAAGTAGAGCACCCCCGATGAAACAGTTAATATGCTTCTTATGGGAGCCATGTGAAACTAGCTTTATAAAGACTGGGATATCCTCCCACTGAATATGCCTATTACCCAGGTCATGGTAAATTTGGTAAGAGACCCCTTATTACATGGGTGCCCCTCCCACAGAATCATAGGACTATTTGAGAAGCCTTATAGAATTTGCTGTCCCTCAATGGGTCTTTTTTTTTTTTTTTTTGAGATGGAGTCTCACTCTGTTGCCCAGGCTGGAGTGCAGTGGCTGGATCTTGGCTCACTGCAATCTCCACCCCCTAAGTTTAAGTGATTCTCCTGCCTCAGTCTCCCAAATAGCTAGGACTATAGGTGCACAGTACCATACCTGGCTAATTTTTTGTATTTTTAGTAGAGATTAGGTTTCACCATGCTGGCCAGGCTGGTCTTGAACTCCTGACCTCATGATCTGCCTGCCTCGGCCTCCCAAAGTGCTGGGATTACAGGCATGAGCCACTGCACCCAGCCCCCTCAATGGGTCTTACAAATGCAACTCTCTGCTGGGAACTTAAATCCTTTTTCACCAAAAAAGGTCAAATGATCTGAGGGGGGAAAAAAAAGTTCCTGGGACCAGAACATAAAAACCTACAGATTAATAGAATTATAAAATTTATGATGTTTAAACAAGCTTTGAGTAAGAGTTGCAACCTCTTTACCTAAATGTCTTATGAAGATGGGTACTGCATCTGACGGATATGTTTCCCGTTTTCTACTATCAACTGATGGCATGTAAATCTACTCTTTTGAGAAATGGTAATTGGACACACTAAATGGGAACTAGTAAAATTGCCTAAGCCCCCAAAGTATAGGGTAGAAGCTGGAGTGCTAGTCCGGACAAATCCTCCACTTTAAAGCCCTTTGTAGAGCATTTACTGGGGATAGTGAAAAAAGACTATGAGTACTTCCCAACCACAAAGACTGAACTAGAGAATTTCTATTTGAGGGGCATTAGTGCCTTAATCTGAATGTTAACTGAAGCTATCCCTATGTTAATGGAGATAATGTTGCCCCAAAGAGTTCCATAATAAAATAAAAATGGTTTACATAGAATCTTGCTACCTGGGAATATAAGGAGGTGTTACTGATAAGAAAGGAGCCTCTTTCCTAGGACTAATTCTAACTCTGTGAGGAGCTGCTAGATTCTACAGTTCCTGATAGACAGCGCTGATGAACTGTTTGGCTTGTGAATGGCATTTCCAAGATAAACAAACATTTTGTTTGAAAGCCACTGCTCTGGTTAAAGAAGAGTCAAAAAAATTTTTTCTTTTCAGCTATCTGGATGAAGTATGTTTTTATAAGCATATTTACCTTTCTAAATTCCCCAAAGTTCAGATTGTGATGTTATAACAATATACTTATTTGCATACATTCAGTAAGACTCTTTTAAAACAGAACAATTAGAGACATCTGTCATTTTACCAAGACTTTAACTAAAATAGTATATTTTTAGGTAAAGTTCTAGTAAAGCCAACCTAAAACCTATATTGACAATCGATTCTTGCTACATTTTATGTAAATAATCAGGCCAAGTATAATAAGCCTAAAACTTACTTTGCACACAAATTGGTCTTACTATAATTTATCTTCAATAGACAAAAAAAGAGTGGTGGGGGCTAGAACAATTGTTTCAAAGGAAAGTGTAAAACTTGGTACTAGATTTCAACCCTAACATTTTTTTTAAGTGCAGAGAATCATAAATTATTACTTGGCTACAATAATCCTAAAGAGTACCAGATTATAATTTTTATTCATATTTTTAGTTGGTCCCCTAATGGAATAGGTTCTTTTTTCTGTTCTGACACACAAATACTCTTTTAATTGTCAAACTATAAATGTTATTTATCTCTCCTTGTTTTATTTCCAAGTAAATCAAAATTAATTATTGTATTCTAAAGACCAGAGATGCCTCTCCCTCATTGGGCATCCCACTGGGCCTGGATCTGTTACTCACTGCAAATGCCCAGCTGCTAACACTATACAAGCACTCTCCCTCTAGGCCCAGGAACTGTCATGGAAGAGGTGGGCACATGAGATTGTAAGGGCCAGTTTTGAGGGATAAAATTAGGTCAAGGTCAGACCCTCCAAATCAAAAGGGGATACAAAGTTGCCTAAACAGCTGGTAAAACAAGCCTTCTAAACTATTATGTGTCACTTTTGCATCCACCCCAATCATACAGAATTTTCTGCGTCCTATAGAATTAAAGAAAAATATTTACTGACAGGATAATGATGCCTCCTGACAAGGCTTTCTGGGTAAAATACTCCCAGTTATAAGTTGCAAATATATATATAAATTTTTCTACAACAATCCTTGTGTTTTCTTTAGCTAATTGCTGAAAGTCTGTAAGTAAAACAAAGCTTACTGTAGATCAACAGATAGAAGTTAAAAATAAGTCCGTCTTGTAACTTTGC